TCTGATGGTTTTTATATAGTTATTTAATAATTATTGTATAATTGTTTTTTATCTATTAAATTATTATGGTAATGTTTGTCTAAGTTTCGTTGTTGATTTGTTCTTAATGATGTTTTAGAACATTTCCCCCTTTTGTTATGTGTATTATCCTGATTTTTCAATAAAATGATTTATTCGGCAATTATTATAATCTTTCATTGATTGTTTTTGAAGTATTGTGTTTTAGGCGGTTTATGTTTTTTGGTATCGTTTTGGTTTTTGTGTGTAATTTCTTTTGTTTATCAAGAAAATGGTAAAATTCGGAAATACGTACCAATCGTTTATCGCATTGCAAGTGAAAAAAAGCTAATTTAATCGTCAACCGCCGTTTATTTTTAATTTTTAGTCCGAATTTAGCTTCTTTTTCTTGTGTTTTTTGCGGCTATTTGTGAATCCAAAAATTGGCCTTGCCCTTTGTTGATAGCCTTTTGGGTGTAAGATATGTTAACTTTATGTTAATAATCAGTTAATAAGATGGTAAAAGTATAGACCAAATATTTCGTTTTTATGAGTAAAGTGGTAAAAGCTTTGTGATGTTTTTAATTCAAAAAACGTTCATTATTGTGGTAAAGAAAAATAAAAAGGCCTTAAAAAGACTGAAAAAACGGGTAATAATCAAATAAATTACAAGGAAACATTTTTGTTCAGCGGCGTTTTATAATAAAAAAACAAAAAACGCCTGACTGTGAGTGCCATCTCAGACTATTAAAATTGGGGTACAACTTTGATAACGTCGAATTCACAACTTCTGATTACGACGTTTATGGCACGCAATTTGATCCAAAAATAGTCAAGTCGTTTGCCACTGTCAAACCCCTCGAGTGCATTATCTTTGAAAATGTCCCTCTTTTTAAAGCACTTTTGTGGGAATTCAAAATTAAGTCAGAAAATTTGGTATTTCCAGATCAAGTCAATGAAATGTCTGAATACTGTTTGGACGGCTCTTCACTTCATTCCGTCCACATTTTGAACATGAAAGTCGTTGAAAAAGGTGCATTTGAGAATTGCAAATATCTCAGTCAAGTTGTCTTACCAAGCAATTTGGAAGTTATAAAGAAGTTGGCATTTTCAAATTGCGTCACTTTGAAGGAAGTTGTGATCCCCAAAAGTGTCACGGAAATTGGGGAAGGCGCTTTTGAAAAGTGTGTGTCACTCACAAAAGTTTTGTGTGACAATGAAGCTGTGAAATATGGAACAAAGTGCTTTGCTCATTGTGTGTCACTGAAAGACGTTCCAGTAATTTCAAATGTTGGCAACGCGATTTTCTTTGCCTGCAAATCTCTTGAAAAAGTGACTTTAAGTTGCAAATGCACTGCAATTAGCGTTTTTGCATTTTTCAAGTGCAATGCACTTTCATCAATTGAGGTCCCACACAGTGTCACAAAAATTGGAGCTTTTGCGTTTAGAAAGTGCGCATCACTCAGACACGTTGATATTCCAGAAAGTGTTTTGAGTGTTGAAAATGGTGCTTTTTACGACTGTAAAGCACTTGAAAGTGTTATTTGTCACAACACTTTAAT